TAATTGGAAATTTTCATTTTTGGGTGAACTATCCCTTTAAGTGTGGATGAATTTTAATATTAGAATACAATTGTAGCACTTCAGTGTTTTTTAGGATATTCTTTTTCATTTACCCTTGTGAAATGCTCCAAAACTAGGCTATAAACTCTAATAGCGAGCTCTAGATATTCTGGAAGTTGCGGTAGAAGTTTCTAGGCACGGTGATGTCCTAGTTTATCTGTTCTGCTCTACATTGAGTTGCAAGTCAGAACAGGCCTTCGGCACACAACTCTTGATTTTATCAACCCACTAGCCAGTGGGAAACAACTGGTTTTTGTTCAGGACGTCACGCCTACTGGCTAAAATCTTGCCTTCTGTTCGTATCTTTTGTTTTGTCATCTGAAAACTGTGCTGAAAAAGATTTTCAAATATATTTAGGAGTGTTGTTAAATTCTATGATGTAATGTTACAGCTGGATTTAGTCTATTTCTTAGATATGTTACCAAATAAACATTTATTATTTAGTTTAGTATTATTTTTTAGTCCAATTTAAAAAAATGTAATTTCTTTTTTTTTATGTGAAAAACAGTTGTCAAGATCTTTTATAATTAAAATAATTTGGTAAATATAAAAAAAGTAAAAATTTGTATAAAAACTGATATATTTGTATAATAATAATTACAACATTTTAACAATTAAAATATTAAAATATTTTGTAAAAATCATAATCATTTTTGTGAAATTCATTCTTACCCCAAACTTTGCAATGATAGTATACCCATTTTAATAATTTCAATCTTTTAACATTTTTTGAGGGCAGAAGTGCTTTAATAATAGATAGAATGTTTTTTAGCACTGCTGTCCCCATTCGCGTCTCTTCATTGGTCTTTTCTTCCTCTTCTTCTCAACTTCCATCTCTCTGTCATGGTAAATTCTCCTCTTTTCTCTGTCTCCTGCTATTTCTGCATGTCCCAGTGTGCTGAAAGAGGGTGGTGATGATCATAGGCTGGCCTGATTTCTAAACTGGCTGATTGCAGTTTGCATTTCTACTCTAATAGTAGTATAACAAAGAAGTGCCTGGATGGTATCAAGGACATTTCAGACTTGAAATAATTAACCATTTTAAACCCCTAATAAACAAAATCCTTGCTTATCTTGCTTCATGTTTAACACTGCTCAAAATTTATGTGAGGTTAATGAAGATTTTTTTTAAATGCGGACCATTTATACTAAACTCCTGAAACACCCTTATTTGCATATGTGTGGTGTTGACATCATCGGTTGGGCAGATGAAGTGACCTATTTACATAAAGAAAGTGTTTGCATTATATTATGTACATTTTTGCCAACTGTTATCAAGTTTTTGATTGAGTTTTCTTTGACTATAAATGAACCAGTCTCTTTTTTTAAAGCCCAGCAAGCAATTTTGTGGTGAATAGACGTCTAATAGACATCTAAATTTCGGCTATCAGAAAAATATCTAATAGATGTCTAGGACAAGTCTAGTTTTGGGCTGTTCTTGAATGTCTATTAGGTTTTCACTCAGGCCAAATGTAGCCTTGTCTATGTTTAGACGTCTATTAGATGTCTATTAGACTTCTTTAAAACACAAAACGGCTTGTTGGGAGTGTTGTAATACTCTGTGAAATTTTTTTTGTCACCATTTAATATAGTTTTTTTTTTTTTAAGTCCACCAAGCAGTTTTGTGATGAATAATAGATGTCTAATAGACATCTAAACATAGATAATTTTGGGCAGTCAGAAAAACATCTAATAGATGTCTGAGAATAGTAGACTAGACTGAGTGTAGTCATTCAATTCCTGATCACTATCATAGTTTTGGGCTATTCTTAGACGTCTGTTCAATTTTCACTGACTGACCAAATGTAGACTTATAAGTGGGCCAATAGACAACACGATGCTGAGCCAGCACTGCAATCCATCGCCCCGCCCCCATCACAAACCCGCTGGCGAAAAATACACACTCGGGCCGTTTGCACTAATACGTCTTTGTGTTAAATTGGCATTTTAGAACAAAAATAATCCACATCCACACTGTTTTACCTAGCATTTTTGAACAGCCCTCCATCCGCTGAAAACGCACATCACGTGACCACACACAGCCACACACACAGAGCCACACGCTGTCATGCCCTCTTCCGAGCTCCTGGCAGAGAGCTGTGCATGTTGGAAAGTTTATGAAGGTTGTACCGCTGAATCGCATCTCACTACAGTCGTTAAAGTGTCACGAAACACCAAAACACATTATTTGAGCTGTTGACAGTCGGATATGTGTCCCACACTGCTAAAAACACTATTAGGACACCTATATTTCACTAAAAAGTGTAAATTGGTTGTTTTTGCGTTATTTCAAGCAAATTCGTACTTCCGGTTTGAAACTAATTTTTGAAGCTGCGTCACGGTCATGACATAATAGCGTGTATTCCAGCGTGCAGACTGGGAGTCTGTACCAGAGTGTGTCTTATTACGTCTTACAGTGTGATGCATTAATGCATGAGTAAGGCTTGGTTCAAACCAATCAGCGCGCTCTATTGTGCAACTTCATTAATATTCATTACTGTCACAGTGCTTAGACTACAGACACACCACGTTGTGTTGGCAAAACAAGCGTGAAGTGTTGCTTTTATAGTTTGCTACAGTTAAGTTTCGTTTTCTCTCTGTGAGAGCTCAGACTCACGTGTGGATTACAGTGTACGCGATGCTCGACAACAATAACTTACGTGTCTAAGGAGGATTATTGTTTACCTTAGAGCTGTTCTCATCTGCAAACGCTGAGATCCGGATTCCCTTGTAGTATTCTCTTCATAAAGACGCGGCTCTAGTTGCTGGTGATTGTCCTGTCTTTACAGATTTGGTAAGTGAGCGACCAGTGCTCTTTGTTTATTCAGTTTGTTCGTATCGCACCACAACCAAACTTTAACCTCGTGTAGGGTTTTTACCGCATTTTGTGACCGGAATAACACACGCGACTTTCTGACGCTACCTGCCGTGTGCATCTAAGTTTCCGGGAAATGCGGAGGGTTTTTTTCTCTCATTCGCCGTGCGGTATCAAACATTGCATGAAAAATACACGCTTAGAGCAGTTCCTCGAATTAAATATCTCGTTTGTCGCGAGGGGCATGAATGAATTCCCTGAATAAAAGAGCCAAACTGCAGTTAAAGTCACCCATTTAATAATTTGGCAAATAATTCGACTACACATGTCCATGTAGGTTAAACACCCTCACTTTCTCCTGTGTGTTTGTGTGTATTTTGACTCTGAAACTTGCGCGTGCCCAAATAGACACTCCCACACCATCCCACTTTTCTTCCTCCGACACTCCCCCCTAAACAGAGCTGGACACGCCCACTTTTCTGACTTTTTCCAAAGTAGAGGTGTGAAAACACCCTGCTGAATCGAGGGGGTTTCATGGCCCTTTAAAACGTGATATTCAGACATCCCAAGTGTCCCAGGACTTCCGGGAGTTTCTATAGATTTGTGGGACTCATAATGCCTGCAAACCAGTGATAATCTCCTGGAAATCGCACGTCTCCCGCCCGGTCCTCAAATAAGTCACGCAAACTTCTCATCCCTGGAATTTTTTAAAACAAATCCAATAAGCAATTGTTTGATGAATAGACATCTAAACATGGCTAAATTTGGGCTGTCAGAATGAATAGACGTCTTAAGAATAGTGGACTATCTGTGTGTGGTCATTCATTCCTGATTACTTGTCTAGTTTTGGTCTATTCTTAGACATCTATTAGATTTCCATTGTCAGACCAAATGTAGTTGTATAAACCACGGCATGTTTAGATGTCACTTAGACATCTTTAAAAAACAAAAAAGCTTGCAGGGAGTGTTGCAAAATGCAAGTATATAATGCAACACAATCTTTTGGACTAAATGTAGTCTTGTATTAACAAAGCTGTCTATGTTTAGACGTCTGTTAGATGTCTATTAGACTACTTTAAAACACAAAGTCTGCAGACTACTTTCAAAAACATTTCAATGGGATTTTTGAAAAGTTGGAATGTAGTATAAATATCGACAATTCAGCCATCATTTGCTTTAGATGTGGATATCGGTACGAGTAAAATCAATCGACTCATCAATATAGGATGCTGTTGTTTCCCTTTTAGTATGCTTGCTAATGTGCTAATTGATTCTAGTGTCTGTTTGGTGTATGTTTACATCTACAATAAAACACAATCCAGTTTTAAAATCTGTTCTTAGTGCCCCGTAGCAGCAGGTAAACTGGCTCTTCAAATCTGATTAGCTACTTAACGAAAACACGTTAAGTGCCACAGTGGTGACTCTGAGGAGCCTTTCACCTTGTGACTCTGTTGACAGCTACATGGCATGTAGAGAGGACAAACAAAACCTTGTTTCATTAGACTAAACAGTAGCTTATTTTATATACAGTGGAAGTCCAAATTAGTAGCCCTCCTGTGAACTTTATATTCGTTTTCAAATATTTCTCAAGGGATTTTAATGCAATAATGTGATAATCTCCTATATATTTTTTTCTTTTGGAAAGCCTTATTTTTTTTGTTTGGCTGCAATAAAATCAGTTTTTATTATTTTTTAAAAACAATTTAAGGTCAATTTTGTAAGGTTTTTTATCCCAATTGGTTACAAAACAAGCCACTTTTGTCCTAGTTAACCTAAATAACCTAGTTATGTCTTTAAATTGCACTTGAAATTGACTATTAATATCTCAAAAATATCCATAAAAAATATCATTAACTGTGATCATGGCAAAGACAATAAATTAGTTATTAAAAAAACGATTATGTTTAAAAATGTGTTGGGGAAAAATCTGTTAAGCAACACGTTGGAAATAATTTTAAAAGAATGACAATTTCACAAATAAGTCTGACTACATCTGTATATATCGTGCTTGGGTGAGGTACATTTGTTGGCAATTTCTGACCAGCTTTACAGTAAATGTGGGATTGATAAGTGACATTTCGGGTGCGTGGTCATGCTGATTCAGACTCTTGTTTTCTTTCTACAGGGAAATGAGGCGAGTTATCCCTTGGAGATGTGCTCACACTGTAAGTATATTAGACTGTTTTCTTATCATAAACTAACTGTCTGAAGTCTTGTTGTTGATCTCAGTTTTAAAAGCAACAAATAATACTGCTAGTTGATCATTTGGAAAAATTAGCAGAAGGTAGATTTTGCTATCTGCATCGCAATCATCACAAATAACTGCAGAAGACCCGCATGGACCCAAGATTCTCACAGAAATCAGTCAAGGTTAAGGAAAATGATTGAGCATGTCTGGGGTAAGATGAAGGAGGAGGCATTAAAGATGATTCGGATTAGACCGTTAGCATCTAGCTCAAACAAAGCTCCTTTAATGGAAAGTTAAAGTGGCGCAACGCTTTCGCATATTCCTGTCGCAGCTATCTCTAGGGCCAGACAGAATCTGCTGATATTTTTTGCTGTTTCTGCAGAGAATTTTGGAAGAACGATTTTGGGAGTTTCATAACTTAAAACGTAATATATGAAATAAAAAAGTAATACCTTTTTAACTTTTATTTAATGTTTACAATGCAAATCCAATTAGATCCACTTAATTCCTTTTAAGTTCCTTTTATAATATATCTACTAAAAGATACTGTAAAATACTAAACTACTAGATAATACTATCTACTAAACTTACTGTAAATAAATCATATGAACATTTTTTATATTAGCTAATAATATTACTGAAATTAATTTAAAAACTGTAAATTAAGGGATTCAATGGGCTAAAAATCTGCGTAAAGATTTTTTTTTGTGCATTTTAAAGCACTTCAGGAAACATTTTTAGCATACATATAGAACTGAAAAATCAAATCTAATGTCTTAATGTATATCTGTATTGATCTTGCCATTAAATAGCCATAAGTTGCCAATGTGGCAGTAAACTAATGAAACTAAATCAGGGGACCTTTAAGCTTTATTGCACAGCATTCTGTTTTTATGGTAGCATTAACTCCTCCACATAAACACACACATGCACTGTGACTATTAAGTACGTTAGCAGGTCTTGGGTGTATAGAATAAGCTCTCAGTCCATTTTGGTGCTATAAACACCCGTGCATGCTGGAGGCATCTGGATCTTAAGACATGAGTAAGAGGGCATCCCTTGGATCAGCAGGGCTTTCCAGGTTTGGAGGTAGTCCAGCGCTAATGTGACCAGACCAGACAGGGTGCTTCTGTGAAAGTGAGGGCTATAAATGGCTTCAGTTGGTAAAGGTTAGTCTCTGGGCCGCAGGAAGAGCTGGTTTATTTTTAGAGTTGGTGGGGGTGGGCAGAAGAACATGAGGTGTTGATCCTGTTTTAATAGTTTCTTTTTTTATGTGGTTTGTGTCCGCTGCTTTAGACATAGTAAATAGTGTTAAAAAGATTTAAAGGGAAAGTTCACCCAAAAAAGAAAAGGTACTCATCATATACTCACGCTAGGTATAATATGGTTTGCACTCCTTGCCATGTCCCGTAAGTGTAAATGTGTTGTTTATAAATTTGTATTTTTTACTTATATTTTTAGATTATATTATTTGTGTAATTGTATTTTTTGTGATTTCTTTTTAAAATTCTACTTTTTGTATTAATATTATATGTTAGACACCTATAGGGTCTGAGAGTGACACAATTTCGATTCGCTCTGTCCTGTACATGTGGTTGGATTGACAATAAAGCTGACATTGAGTTTGACTTTGTAGCTTTTTATTTTATTCAATTTAAATTGTCATTTTTGAACACTAAAAATATTATGAAGAAAACTGATACCTGTAATCATCGACTTCCATAAAAGGATAAACAAATACTAAGTAATTCAATGGTTACAGGTTTTCAGATTTCTTCAAAGTATCATCTCTCCTGTTGAACAGAAACATTTTTTGGAACAAGTTTAGGGTGACCAAATAATGACGGAATTAAAATTTTGTCGTGAACTATCCCTTTAAGTGAGAATGTACAGAATATTTTTAAATGATACTATTGAACGTTTTTATTCAGGAAATATCTTAAGGAAAATGTTTCAAAGGGTCTCTCATGGAGGAATTTTAGAGTATTTGTCATTGATCAAATTTAAGCAACTTATATAGTTGAATATCAGTGTTGTTGTCATTTTAATGTTCATTCCTTTCTTTAGTCTCTTTATTAATCTGGGATCACCACAACGGAATGAACCACCAACTTATCCCGCATATGTTTTAGCAGGGGATGCCCTCCCAGCTGAAACCCATCACTGGGAAACATCCATACACACATACACCACAGTCATTTTAGCTTACCCAATTCACCTTTACCACATGTTTTTGGACTTGGGGAAACCGGAGTACCTGGAGGAAACCCATGCCAACATGGGGAAAACATGCAAACTCCACACAGAAATGCCATCTGACCCAGCTGAGGCTCAAACTAGCAACCTTCTTGCTGTGAGGCGATTGTGATACCCACTGCGCCACCGTGCTGCTATTTTAATACTTGTTTTGTGAATTATATATTGAATCTTTACTACAAGTGTTGTCATGACTATAGCCAATGCGGTTAGTATGGCATTAAAACTTGAATAACATACATGCATCTCTTTTAAGTGAGCGTTTAGACCTTTTCAATTTACGAATGTCCATTGATTGTAAAAAAAAAAAAAAATCTGCAAACCAAACATTTGCAGTCATTTAAAGCGGATAGTAAAAATTTAACAACCACAAAAGAAGATAAATTAAAGAATTTTTTTTTTTTTTGGTGAACTGTCCATTTAGGTAATGAATTCTCATTACTTCATAATCTTTCTGCAAATAGAGACTACTTCTTTAATTGGTGACTGTTGTTTCTAATAGCTGATGAAGATTTTTCACTAATTTCTTTCTGTGTATTTGAGCATCAGCCTGTTTACACCTCGTATTAAAGGGTTAGTTTACTTTAAAAATTTATTTACTCACTGTTTTTTTGTTTTTTTTGTTCTACGAAAAAGGATCATTTGAATACTGTTGGAAAAACTGTGGTGATTGACGTCTATAGTAGTAAATAATATAGTAGTAAAATCCTATAAAAGTCAATGACTACAACAATCTTCAAAAAATATTTTTTGTTCAGCAAAAGAAACTCGTAAAGGTTTGGAATAAATGAAGGGTGACCAAATGATGATAGAATTTTAAAGTTCGTAGTGAACTATCCCTATAAGTTAGAATAAACAGTATATTTTTAAATAATATTATAGAATGTTTTTATTCAGAAAATATCTTAAATGAAATGTTTCAAAAGGTCTCTCATGAAGGAATTTTAGGGTATGTCATTGATCAAATATACGCAACTTATATGACTTAATATCAGTGTTGTTGTTAATTGAACATTTGTTTTGTAAAATGAACGCTTGAGAAACAGTTATGATTGTGAATTATATATTGAATATTTACTTCAAGTGTTGCCATGAATATAGCCAATGCTGCTGGTAAGGCAATAAAACATGAATCAAATGCATCCCTTTAAGTGAGCGTTTATACCTTTTCAATTTAAGAATGTTCGTTAAATGGAAAAAAAATCTGCAAACAAAGGATTTGCAGTCATTTAAAGGGGATAGTAAACATTTAACAACCACAAAAGAAGATAAAGAATTTAGTTTTTTTGGTGAACTGTCAATTTAGGTAATGAATTTCCATTACTTCATAATCTGCAAATAGAGACTGCTTCTTTCATTGGTGACTGTTGTTTCTAATAGCTGATGAAGATTTTACACAAATTTCTTTCTGTGTATTTGAGCATCAGCCTGTTTACACCTCGTATTAAAGGGTTAGTTCACTCTAAAGATTTATTTACTCATTGTTTTTTTGTTCTACAAAAAAGAAGATAATTTGAATAACGTTGGAAAAACTGTGGCAATTGCCATCTATTGACCTTATTCTAAAATGCGGAAGTGCGCCTGTTTTCGTGATTGTCTTAGAACTTCTGTTTTAGTCGCCTATAGGGGAAATGACTAGGAATAATAAATGGCAAAAAACAGTCAAACTACTTGCTCTACAAACAAATGTTTGCATGACTAAACAGACCAAGTAGAATAGTATAACAAGGAAATGTCAGTTTGCAACATCAAACAGTGAAACGAGCAGTTTTTAATGTCTGAAAATGAATGGAAGTGAATGAGACCGGAAGTCTCGTGACAAAAAGGTTCAAATGGCAGCGCCCGCTCGTCGGCAAAGAATAAGGTGAATAGTAGGGGAAAAATACCATGGAAGCCAACGGCTGCAACAATCTTTAAAATTTCTCCCAGAGTCCAAAGACATGTACTATGGGTGAATTGAATAAACGAAATTGTCCGTAGTGTGTGTGAATGAGTGTGTATGGGTGTTTCCCAGTTCTGGGTTGTGACTGGAAGGGCATCCGCTGTGTAAAACATATGCCAGAATATATGTCTGTTCATTCCGTTGTGGCAACCTGTGATAAATAAGGGACTAAGCCGAAGGAAAATGAATATAATTGGTTTGGAACAAGCAGAGAGTTAGTAAAGGATGTCAACTATATAACCATGAGCTATCCCTTTAAGATGTTTTTTGTCAGCCTGATATCAAGTGGACAAGAAGCTTTCTTCTTAAAGGGTGAAAGCATGTAAAGCAAGATTTGAGGCACTATCCGGCGATTGGTTGATCCTCCTGCAGTCTAATAATGATGAGCACAGAGGGAGGTCAAAAGTCAAAGATTGATGGCATCATTCCCAGTAGGTCTCGCTGCCCAATGAGAAGCCTACAGTAATTAATCTCTAATGGTAATAATGAACGAGTGGCTGTGAAACTGAGCCACCTGTTGGTCAAATGGCTGCCTGGCAACCACAAGGACATCAGAAAGCCTCCGGTTAGCAACTGCTGTAACCCAATGCTTTTGTGGCATCATCCAGAATCGTGTTTGTAGACCAGATACATTTGGATTAACAGGTTTCCTGCAGGTCAGGGAATTTCTGGAATATTCTGGATTTTTTTTTTATTTTATTTTATTTTTGTCTTTTCCAGATAGAGCTGCACAATATATCGTTTCAGCATCGATATCTCAATGTGCACATCTGCAATAGTCACATCACAGGATCTAAAATGCCAAATTGGGATTATAATTAACCAACAAACACAGTTCATGACACTATAATAGTGTGAAAGATTTTTATTTAGATGTGTTTTTTAGGCGTTTGACTGTACAATTTCCTTGAGAATAAATAGAATGAAGACTATACGGTGATGTTTTACATTTGATTATTGATTATTATTATTATATAGCTTTTTTTGTACCTCAATACTGTTAGACTCCAGATAAAACTATTTATTTATTTATTCATTTATTTTTATCTTAGTTTTGTTTTCATCTGTGCTTTAATTCACTTTATTTAGTATATTTTTAGTCATTTTGTATATTTTATGCAAATGTGCTTGCCTACAAAATCATCATGATGTTAAATCATGAATTAAGTCATCTTGTAAAATGATTGGATTATATATTGCAGAAAAACAAAATAATGTCCTTTTTTACTATATCATGCAGCCCTAGATATTGAAAGTATTATATAAAAAAGTTTTTTTTTCTTTGTATTTGTCTAAAATCAGGGACTTTGTTTGTCACTTTAAATTTGACTTTGCTTTCCTCAATTTATTGTTTTCTTTACTGATATTTGTTTTTTCCACATTGTTTCATGTGTTTTGTTTGTTTTTGTTGGGCTATTTTTCCATTGCTAATTAAATTATTTTCTCACTTATCTATCAGCAATCAAATGCTGAATGGCTGAATTTTGCCATTTATTTTTTATTCATTATTATTTTTGCTAAAAAAGTTTGATTATTGCAGCCTAAATTGACTGATTTTTGTGGTGACATTTTTAAAAATTTGTGGCATTTCTTGTTTGTGTTGTTTTGCTGTCAGAATATACACAAATTTACATGTCATGGTCTTAATTTATATAAAGGAATATATATTGAGAGAAACAGAAATGTTTTACCTCCTAACCATAAAACAGTGTTAGCTAAAGGCTGATTTATACGTCAAGCGCACGCGTATGCTATGGCACAGCCCTCGCCGTGGCCATCGGCATTGCTAACGCGCACCTGAACGACGCTTAGCGCAAGCTTTGTGATTGGTCAGCTTGGTAGTGCTGACGAGTGTGGGCGGGACCGAGAGTCTTTTGAAGCGAGTGTTTACAAGTGTCAAGTCCAGTGAAGGAGCTCCAGATGGAAAGTTTTGTTTTGTGTTTACCTCATGGTTAAAATTGTAGCACATCCGCCGGTTCCTACCTCAAATTGAGCAAATTTGAGCCACTTGAACATAAGGGAGGATTCAGAAAGAACAAAAACATCAGTGAAGAAACTCGACACAAGGAACATAAACACCTCACTGCCAGCTAGCGTTTCGGAAGTGCTACTACAGACGAATACAAACAGCGCACAGAAGTATAAATGCACGGCAATGCGCAATAATTTTGACTTTAACTGTATGTTTAATTATATACAGAATACAATGTTCAGCTTATTAGTCAGTAAAAGTCATGAAATCAACTCAAAATTGATCAGTTGTACCATTAATTAAACCCAAAAAATTCTGCCGCACAAGTGGAATTGCATAAATTGACACATTTCTGTGACTAATGAGCATGTGCACTGCTGCTTTCCCTCAGGCTGTTGCTATGGGTCTTTCAGAGAGCCATTACAGATCAACCCGACTGATCTATAAATATGTTCCCCTCTCTACATCGTTTAAATGCTGTGGCTCAGTGATGCAACAGCCGATTCTGATGCCAAATACTGAACATTTTCATTCTTTTGCTGCTTTGAATGCAACCTCAGGTGATGCAAACCTGCATTCATCACTGCCGTCTTGGTGTATGACAGATGCATGGTGGTGTAAAACAGTCGCCTGGTTCAGTGACACACATTGGCTCTCGCTAGCCGTATCAGGGTTAATCCGTGGCATATTATTAGATATGAAGAATAAGCGGTTGCATCATCTGCTTTAGGGTAATCTGGGAAGTGCCCACAAGCTGGAAATAGCACAAAGTTACTTCTCTCGTATCTAATTGGTAGTACTCAACAGTAATGAGGTGTGTGCGTGAAACATCTGCTTTAGTTGTGACTGGCTCTCAGACTGCTGTTTTCTTTCTTTATGCAGCTATTTTGGGATCAAGTCAGCTTTAATATTGTGTTATTGTACTTGGTAACTGAACTTCACTGTCCTCTTGATTCTTGAGACCCAGATCTTTTGTTCTGTTTTTCCCTCCTAGTATACTATAACTTGCTTATCTAGAGTGTTATATGGAACTTTAAATTATTAAAATTATGTTATATTTAATTAAGCTTGGAATTAGTTATGGGTTTTTCTTGAATGGTTTGTTTATTTTGAACGAATCTTTTGTATGACTGGAGTTTGATGAGTCCTCTTAGACAGTGGTTCGTTCAATTGCGTGTGCGCATATTTGTGCAGGTGGAGTAGAACAGAGGTTCCCAAGCTTTTTTTTGCCTGAGACCCCCTTTTTCTCCGGAAAATATTGTAAGGCCCCCTCCACATGTAATGATATAATCGCTCATATAAGTTTGCAGTAATGATGACAAAATTTTTTTGTTTTCATACAAACAATATGTTTATTACTAGGCTGCCGTCATTTGCAATCTCCATCAGTTGATCTTCTTGCACAGCCATGGTGGATTCACCTGATTTGTGGGTTGCGGATATATTCCTTGGCAGTTCGGGGGTCGTTCACTGGGCCTTTTTCCCCAAGCAAAGAAACTTTCCAAAGTCTGCTTTTTACTTATTTTTATGCTTGTGGGTTAAATTTGGGCGCTAAAGTGACCAAGATGTAAGCAAGAGAATACAGTCATTTTTCAGAATAAAAGACTTTTCAAAATAAAAGATTGTTTAGACTCCGATAATAAATAAAACGAACATAATTAATGATTTCTTTTGCGGCCCGGTACCAATTGATCCACGGACCGGTGGTTGAGGACCGCTGAGCTAGGGGATAAAATGAACTAAGGCACATGATCATTCTCCTAATTGTCCACTGCTGAGATTTTTTTTAAATATGAAGCGACACCCCACAAAGCTCGCTGAGGCCCCCTTGTGGGCCATGACCCCCCTGTTGGGAACCTATGGAGTAGAAGATTAGTTCAAGTCTTTCGGGTTTGAGTCGTTCATTCATCCGTCCGTCTGTCATGTGAAAGACAGAAACAAATGCATTTAGAGTCTGAAAAAGATTTGATCCGTTCATCTCTCGAGTCCTCGGTTTGAGTCGTTCGTTCATCACATGAAAAACAGAAGCCAATCGCATGCATTTAGAGCCAAATAAAGATTTGATCCTTTCATCTCTCGAGTCCTCGGTTTGAGTCGTTCGTTCATCACGTGAAGGACAGGAGCAGATCATGTTCTGTCAGAACCGGAAAAAGATTTGATTTGTTTATTTATCGAGTCCTTGGGTTTAAGTCATCTCTCTTTTTCTAGCATTCTAGTTCTGACTTGTTTGTAGTGTGATCAATGCTTTGGCTAGTTGTAGATGAGTTTGTAAGCAACTTGTAACATTTTAATACCATTTTGGCAAAATGAACTAAATGGCTCAAGGATTTGTTCATCTTAATGAACGAGACTCAAAGGTTCGAGTTTGAGTAAAATGATCCGAAGTCCCATCGCTGCTTATGTTTTTTTTACATCTTAAAATAAGATTAAGTTCTAATTAGTATGTCTGAACTAAGAATGAACGTTTTGGTATTTATTAAAATTTAATAAAATAATAAACATAAATTTATTATTCATTCTTTGCTTATGATAGCTCGGTTCCATTAGTATTTAGAAGTATTTTGTATCCAAAATTTAGCATAAAATGTTAACTAAATAAACGTTAATAAAACTATTTTCACCTTTTAAAGGACTCCAGGGATCCATGAACTTTTTTTTTAATCCATTCACCCGATTTCTGCTTCTTGTGGGAACACTTTTAGCTTAGCATAAATCATTGAATTGGATTAGACCATTAGCATCTCGCTTCAATTTCCAAGTATTTTAGATGCTCGACTCGACTCTCTGTAGTTACATTGTGTACTAAGACAGATAAAAAATGAAAAGTGCATCCAATAAAGGGTAAAACTCTACTATTTTACTTCAGAGGACTTATTTCCAAAAAAAACTGTAGTGTTCCTTTAAATGAGCCACAAAGGTTGAGAATCGCCGGTCTCAGTCACAGTGATTCCCCAGTTTAATTCGATTAACCACACAGCGCTAACAGCAAACAATCTCCAGGAGGTGTGCACCACGTGGCTTTGTGAATGAGATTAGGGCGTTTAGCAGTGAGTGCACACAGCACAACACTGAGCACTAGCAGAACGGCAGTCCTCTGAGAGATGACCATGACTGCCAGACAGGAGAAACTGGGTAAGAGCTATTCTGACTGGGGTTTTTAGGGAGCCAAGATGGATGGAAGTGTATGGAGAGAGCCTTGGATATGCAGTATTGGCTTGTTATGTGTGTATTTTAAGACCTTTGCAGTCCTCATAACTGCTGTAGGTGGACATTTATAAAGATCTGTTTATAGCAAAAACAGTGCGCGAAGCATGTTTACTTGTTCAGTTTGTTTTGCGCTTAGTTCAGGCTATTAAACCAAAGTTTTTAAACGTTTTTGTCCATCTCTGTCTCTATTTCAGTTGACGCTGATGAGATTAAAAGACTAGGAAAGCGGTTTAAGAAACTCGACCTGGATAACTCGGGCTCTCTCAGCGTGGAGGAGTTCATGTCTCTGCCCGAACTGCAACAGAATCCGCTGGTGCAGCGAGTCATCGACATATTCGACACAGATGGAAACGGAGAAGTCGACTTTAAAGGTGTTTTCTGTTTACTCATTTAAACCTGGTTTGTTTAGTGTCATGATTGAGATGCTTTTGTTCAAACAGAGCTCTGCTGTGAAGATGTATTGTTCTTGACTGACCCAAAAGTTAGCATTATCCTGGCTTGATAAGGAAAAGAAACACAGTAGGGTCTGGATTATTGCGGAAAATAAACTCTGTCTGCCAATTAATGTGTGATTCTGATAGATTTTATCTGATAATCTTCAAAATTAGCACTGAATTTTGACTGGTCAAATGATTTCACCATAAGCATTTGATAACACACACACACACACACACACACACACACACACACACACACACACACACACACACACACACACACACACACACACACACACACATTTATTTATTTATTGCTCTGACAAACTAAATGATGACAAACCCCTTTAACATTTCACCTATAGACCCTTTTGAGGGATGTAAACAATAACATTGGTCCTGACATTTTTCCTGTGTTACATTTTAAATTTCCATAGCTTCTGAGAGTTCAAAAAGTACCACATATTGATAAATAATGTTACGATATCTGTTATAACATCAAGATATAATTGAATCGCTTCTTGTCACAGATATGAAATAGTCTGACAACAAGACGGAAATGATCATGAGCCAATAACATCACCACTTTGAAATGGTCTATAAAACATACTGGTATTTTTTCATGCAATTATTTTTTACTAGTATATTTTCCATTAAATCAGGGTTTTTGCAGGATCTTAAATTGCTAAAACTAAATTTTTGGCCCTAAAAGTCTTAAATTTACCGAAATATCGTGTCTTAAATAATTTTTAACAAGTGTTATTTTCTCTTTGTTTATGAAAAGATACACATTCAGGCCCAAAATCATCCAATCACCAGCAATCCATCTCAGTAGAACTTTTAAATGGTTTTATTTTTTACCTTTATTTAATAATATTGTTTAATTACCTTCCTTATAATAACATCCATTTAAAAGTTCTTCATTTATGGTAAAGACACTGACCTGGAAGACAGCTGTGCATATATTAAGCTTTGTTTTTGTTTTTTAAGAAATGTTATGCTGAGAAAAGTGCATCTATGAAACCAGAGTTTTCTTGTTTTGGTGCATTATTTTAAATATGAGGCTAGGAAAAAATTAAGTTAGAGTTTCTTTGCGAATATTAAAAAACTTTTCTTTTCCATTAGAAAAAAATCCTTAAATGATTATCCCTGTATAAGTCCTAAATTTTCATTGATGATGGCCTTAAAGTCTTAAATTTGACTTGCAGAAATTGTAGAAACCCTGTAATTAAATCAAAATAAATGCATAAATAAAATCTTTTCTATTAAATAGTAGTACTTGTTTATTTGATACTTGTACCCACTGATTTGATTCTAGTACTATTATTGCTACTATTTATTAGATACCAGGACTTATTAGACGGTAATGAATAAATACTAGTAACAATCTAAAATAAATGAGCATCTAATAAATACAAATAGCAAATAAACAAGTACTAGTATTTAATCTTAAATATGTACTATTAGCTAGATACTAGTGCACACATATTATGAGTAATTTTAGGTCATATTATAAGCTCTTTTTTTATAAGGCAGAGCTTTACTGCATGTCAAAAAAACAATGTTACCTTAACTTTAGCTTTTCCTCTGCTGTTTTCAAAGCAAGTGATATGCATTGTGTGTTATTTTTGTTCTGATAAACCAAAGCCTGAAATTTTTCCTCTGTGGAATTAAAAGAACTGTTATTTCCTTTAAGAAATGTAATATTAAACGTGCTTATTCTTACCCAGTTCAAGTTATTGTACAGGTACAGTGATGCTCTGTGCTTTAGCATGTGAGTGATAGCTTTCTGTCTTTTTCTTTCCCTCCTGCAGAGTTCATTGAAGGCGTTTCTCAGTTCAGTGTGAAGGGCGACAAGGAGCAGAAGCTCCGCTGTGAGTCTCTTTTGCTTTTCAATCTCACAAATTTACTCTGGTTTAGAGGTTTCTGCCTTTTAAAATCCACAAATCTCCAATTATGATCATCCCACATAAGGGACCACAGTAATTTAAAAGGGATCCATTCGGTTCTTTAGTAGTTTTAGTAGCTATTTAGTTTCTTACAATAGGTTATGTAATATTAAATATTATTACGTATTACAGTCTGTAAAAAACATGTTCTATAAGGGTCTAAAATATGATTTGGAAAATATTTAGTTTCTGTCTAGATATGTATATTTTCTATGCTGATATGGCAAGGATTTGTACTCTTAATTCTGGTGTAATATTAAAAGAACTTTACTGTCTCAGCAGGCTCAATGATATTGCGTAGTACTGTTTACTAGTTGAGGACTATTTTCTTTGAAGCTAGTTAATATCATTGCACTGGCTGCAGAAAAATAGCAACTTTTATAATTACAGCAATGGCAATACAGTATAATTAGAGTAGTTAATAGCATAAATAGAAAAATGATCAAAATTCTTTCTTTTTTTATTTAATTAAGTGACATGCTAGTGGTCTAATCAGATTCAGTGATTTATGCTAAGCTAAAAGTGCACCTGTCAGACCTGGAGATCGGCTGAATGGATTCAAAAAGGGTAAAACTCAAGCTGTTTACCTCTTAAGGGAGTTACAAAATGAGCCCATTTTTATTCTTTAAAGTGGAGTGTTTGTTTAAAGCCTCCTTTCCGCTGCACACGACAAGCAGCAGACCGGAAGTCATTTATTTCCAGTGGAGAGTAGTGTGGTGTTCCGATCATCTCCGTATGTGGAATATTCAGATCTGAATTGAGCTGCAGATGCGTTGAAATTTTTGACCTTCTGTGACTAGACTGTATGCTACAGGCCGACCGGATGTGATGTATTTCAGTGTTGTTTATGCGCGCCAGATGAGAAATAGTTTTATTGGTTATTGTTTATATCAGAAAAGTCTATATTTAAAAAAACATTTCCATTCATAAATAAGTAATAGAAATATTATTTTTTAATGTTCTTCACATTCCCTCCAATATTTTTTAGCAGTCTGTAAGTTTCTTGTATTCTGTCATTCAACCTTGGTGAATGCACGGCGAAAAATGGCTCTTGCTTTTGCACTCCTTTATTTCGGCCAGTGTGAGAACTTCATCTCTCCCATGGTGCACGACAGAACTAAAAATTCTGTGCGATTGCCACAAGGGGGCATATTCCGACAGTTGTGTCCAAATGTCGTGTGCAGTGGAAAGGCGGCTTTTGCAAAGTCCAGTCAGAGGGGCAAAGTCCAGTCATGTCAAAGACACTTTCATATTGAGGGTGCTTTCACACCTGCCTTATTTGGTTGGATTGAATCGCACTAGAGTTCGTTTTCCTTCTTGGTACGGTTCGTTTGGGCAGGTGAGAATGCAGCAATCGTACTCGAGTACGCACCAAAAGCGGACCTAAAAAGCGTACCGAGACATCCTCGAACAGGTGGTCTCAGTACGCTTTCAAACGAACCCTGGAGCGGTTTGTTTGTGGTGAGAATATGAGCCGAACTAAAACAGGCCCAATCACAAAAAGTACTGCGCCTTTTGGACTAATCCAGCTGCCGTAGGCCGATGCGCTGTGCATCATGGGATATGGAGGAAAAATATTTGTTGACAGCCTTTTACCAACAGAGAGAGAGAGGGGAAAACATTACCTGATGGATTGTTGGTAATATTTCCGCAAGATGACCATGTCGCAGTTTAGCTAAATTAATTCACGCCTCATCGAGTGACGAGCGATGCATTAAAACATTGTTTTCCAGCAGTGCTTTATTCTGGAAATGTATGGTTTGTCTAAAGCAGGCATATAATCAGTCAGCGCAGTCGTCCCTCCTTAGTAAAAAGCTACATTTTGTGTCTGCCGCTTTGTTTACTTGCGGGAGTTCATTGGCATTTTCCCGCACGTGAATTCTGACCATTCGATTGGCAGTTTAGGAAATATGTTCAACAACATCTGGCCAATGAGAGATGAGGATTTTGTCAGATGACTGCATTTTGGTTTGTTTTAACTGGTTCAGATCAAAGCCAGCAGTGTGGTGTGAAAACGACCCAAAGACGGCAGAAAATGCAACAATGTATCATTTATTTCCCTTGGTCCGGACCAAATGAAGCGAACTACAGATGTGAAAGCACCCTGAGACACTGCTTATTAATTTCCCAAAACAAATGATGTGTCGATGCGTTTTGTTTTATTTGCTTCATACAGTAGACCAAAACTATTCTTTTTTAAACACTGTGACATTGCTGTAAACATGTTAGACAATCCTGAAAGCTGGTAAACCTGACAAAATGCAACCCCTTTTAATAGTGTTTCATTCATTTACGAATTTGCGATTATGTTTTACCGGAGTGATCCTGTGTGTTTTATAGCCTTGGCAAGGGACTCTCAAGATCAAAGCAATCACCACCCACTCCCATTAGAAAAAAGTGGGCTCGCCCAAAGGCTACAGTATAGTTTGAAGACTGGGTAAAGTGTTATATGAACAATCTGAATGACTGCTCGGCTTTTTCACTTGTTTTTGCAGTTGCGTTCAGGATTTACGACATGGACAAAGATGGCTACATCTCCAACGGCGAGCTGTTCCAGGTGCTGAAGATGATGGTGGGGAATAACCTGAAGGACACTCAACTGCAGCAGATCGTCGACAAAACCATCATCAACGCAGACAAGGACGGTGACGGCAGGATATCCTTCGAGGAGTTCTGCGCTGTGAGTCTCGTTTCAGTCACAACAAACATCTGACACTTTCTGCTTTCAACACAAACTCATTTGAACCAGTCATGCATTACAATCAGGGTGTAAAATAAACACTCCAGGTGCCGAATTGTCAGTAAAAATCACTGTTGGCAAGTATATGCAAATTAGTTAGGTGGCTATTCTGAGTGCATGAGAATGCAATATTGTTGAGCTCATTTAACACATCTCAGAGGCTGCATCTGCTTGTTTCACTGTGAATTTAAACTTGAGCAGCGTATGATAACTGCATTTTCAGTGTCTTAGAGTGGTTTGTTTCACCGGGAAGTAATATATAAACTTCACCTCTACATGTGTAAAATTGAAACATGCTTCAGCCAGTGTTGGGCATCGTTACTTTTGAAAGTAATGCATTACAATGTTGAGTTACTGCCCAAAAAAGTAACTGGTTGTGTTACTTACTTACCTTTTATGGAAAGTAATGCTTGATGTTAATTTTGAGTTACTTCTGCATTACTTTTTAATACATGCTTGAGGCTTGATCTCTTTCAGAACTTTCAGGGTGTTTTTCTTTTTTTAAATAGAGGAGCTCAGCATTTAACCACATGCTGTATAACCTACAGCATCATTTAGCTTTTTAAAAAAATAGAATACTGTTACCTTCTGAGAACTTCCAGACGCTGTACATGCCGTACATACAGATCTACATACTTTTGTATTTTTGTCTTATTAGTTCAGTAAAATCACTGCTCATTCTTCTTCCATGTGTTCAGAATAATGAGAAATGTAAGGCTTTGCCATTTTGGTTTCTGTCTGTTCCTGCAGGGAGCTCATTCTTTCATTGAGTGTGATTCAACGTCATTACTCTAATTTTAATTCAGCAAACTATTTTTTAAAAGCCTCTTAATTGAGCTAAAAAAGTAACATTTTGAAAAAGTAACTCAAATATTATTGCTTAAATGCTTTACTGTTCTCGTTACTTAAAGTTTTATAATATTAACTAAAGTAATAAAGTAAAGTAATATTATTACGTAACTTGTGTTACTGTAATGTGTTACCCCCAACACTGGTGCCAGCTCAACTTTGTAGTGAGTTTATCAACACACTTCCCTGTGGTTTTCCACCAAAATAAAAGCTCTTTGCTCAACCATTGGAAAGTAAAGAAATAAAAAACTATGACACTTATTTTATTATATTTGCTATGCAAAATTTCTGAAGCATGTTGTTGCCCTTTGATTATCATGTGACACATTTTTATCTTGTGTATAACAGTTTTTGTTGTTGTTTACACCAATGACTTTGGTCATCTGATTAATTGTTTGTAATTTTTGACTTTACATTAGTGTTGTAATTTTACTGCTGCTATAGAATTATTTATCAAAAGTAAATCTTAAAGATTTAGATTTTTAAATTGTTTATTCATTGTTGTTGTCTTTATTATGGAAATGTGTAATTTCGAAAACATTAAAATAGCCATTGATAAACTTTAAACTCTAAACTAGCTCTCTCACTGCTGTTAAATAAAATAGTTAATTATGATTATCATTCATACATACATCATTTTCTTTTCAGCTTAGTTCCTTTATTAATCAGGGGTAGCCACAGCAGAATGAACCACCTACTTATTCAGCATATGCAGCGGATGCCCTTCCGGCCACAACCTATCATCGGGCAACACCCATGCACTCTAATTCACACACATACACTACGGACAATTTAGCTTACCCATTTATCCTATACCGCATGTCTTTGGACTTGTGGGGGAAACCGGAGCACCCTACACAGACACGAGGAGAACGGGCAAACTCCACACAGAAACGCCAACTGACCCAGCCGAGGCTCAAACCAGCGACCTTCTTGCTGTGAGGCGATTGTGCTACCCACTGCACCAACATGTTGCTTTGATTATCTCGTAATTATTATTGTTATTAAAATATATATAGGGTCACACGGCCGCTTAGTGGTTAGCACTGTTGCATGAAAAGTCGCTGGTTTGAGTCCTGGCTGGACCAGTTGGTATTCCTGTGTGGAGTTTGCATGTTCTGCCCATGTGTTTGTTTTCTCCAGGTGCTCTGGTTTCCCCCACAGTCCGAACACATGTGCTATTGGTGAATTGAATGAACTGATTTGGTCATAGTGTATGTGTGTAATTGAGTGTGTATGGGTGTTTCCCAGCACATGGTTGCACCCCAAAGGACATCCGCTGTGTAAAACAAATGCTGGAATAGTTGGCGGTTCATTCCGCTGTGTCATTTCAGTAAATATTAATAAAAAATACTATTTGCCGTTATATGTTTTTCCCTAATTCTCTTCTCACTTTAGGCATCTAGTGACTTATTGTTTTTTTTTCTGTATTTGTTTTTAGTTTTGGTATAATTGCTTTAGTTAGAATGTTGCACGATACAAATACAAATCAGTTATCCGCTTGTTAAATGTGACGTCACGCAAATCAGCTTCCAAACAACCTCAACAAATGGTAATAATAAACGTTTACAAAGTGATGAAATACTTTCGAAAATCAGTTTATATATCCATGCCTAAAATCAGACAGCCAGAAAGTGATGCATTGTTTTTATAAATTGTTAAAATACTGGTGTCTGTGATGCAGCAAGTTTTGTGTACAGCATGAAATCACTTTAATATGTGATATGACTAAACAGTGGTCATAAACAAATCTTTACTCAATTCAAACGAGTAGCAGCTTAAACCTGGAAACAGTATTTCATACGTCACGACTTAACAAGTTTGAATATTGCACATTTCTTTTCTTTTTTTGACTGTTCACTCTTTTCTCCTGCAGGTTGTTGGCGGTTTAGACATTCATAAAAAGATGGTGGTGGACGTGTGAGGAGACCAAACAGGCCCTTCACTGAACACCCTCTTTTTCACTTCTCCATTTCTGAGATTCAGCTCCAGATGTTCCGCTAACTCTCTCTCTCTCTCTCTCTATCGCTCTATTTTTTTACGTCCTCTCTTTTTCAATGAAAGTATTTCTCTGAATGATGCCTCGGTTTGCCCGTCTGTTCTCCCTGAGCCTCGTGACGCCTGCCATCCTAAGTGTTATAGAGCATGAGATTCTTCTGTCCACATTCTCGGGTATTAACGGACAGTCAGAGGGACGTTTTCTCTGTCAACTACCCAACGTTTTCAGTCTGGAGTGGAGAAGAGGAGTGTGTGTGTGTGTGTGCGCGTATGTGTATTTTCTTTCCAAAGGGGGGAATTTTTTTGTATTTATTTTGCTCCTGTCTTTTTTTAAAAGATGATCTAGGTCTACAGGGAATACGTGTATGTGAGCGATATTATATACTATATTATATATAAATACATGTGTGTGTGACTTGATTTCAGTGCAACACGCTTCAAGCATGAAGTGCCAATCGAAACCTAAACGTCAGGATTTAACAAGAGCTGCATAATGAAATCGCTGTCTGTCACAGGGGAGAGTTTATTAGCAAGCTAATTCATCATCTCCAAACTGTTTTTGGCTTGATGTATCGCAAATCCAATTCAGATTTTCTACTGAGAATGTGTGTGTATGTGAAAAACAAAAAAACGTGTGCTGTGGTGATATTGTCAGGGAGTTCACCTGCCGTCTTGCTTTGGAATATGCCGTAGATTAGGGTACAAAGCAAATATATTTGAAGTCGTGCACATATATATGTATGGTTTACTTTTAAGAATGGTGTTTTTGCGCAGGGGTTCAGGATCAGATCACACCACATAGTAATGTAAGATGGAAAAAGTGCCATCGATAAACTTTCTGAACTTTGTGTGTGTGTATTTTGGATTTAGTAACATTTTAACATCATAAACAATGAATTTACCTCTGAACAATGAGGATCCAGAATCCAGATGAACACCGTTTGCAGAAATTTACAGTTAATTTATTTCCAAATTGACTGCAGGCAGCATTGTGAAGATCTTAGTAGCTCATATTTGTATATTGGGGACTGAAGGACTGTGTGTTTTGTGGGCTCGGTTTTTTTTCTAAGCTTTAATTCGCATCGTTTTACCTGAGAAGAAACGGCGAAACGGATCTGACTGACCAGCGGTTGGTGTTTTTTCCTTCATCATTTCAAAGGTAGGATTCGATTGTTCAAAAAGGAGAGACCAAAGCAGGCGCTGAACAGACTCTCCGCCATATTTTGCTTTAAATGTGATTCTCCCGCGCAAACCGGCGTTTTGGCGCCAGCTGCTGCACGGTGACGGCGCTTGAATATGTCTATCCTGAAGACCTTCAATGAGGTCTTGTGAAGTGTGCTTGCATGTTACAGGAGGGTTTTTTAATTTTGTTGTGCATGTAGATCAGATTTTTTTTTTTTTTTTGGAAGGGAGGGGGGTTGATCTCTTGTTTACATATGAATCGTACTATTGAGATATAATCTGAATGACAGTTGCATATAATTATATGGACGTTGCCAAACTTTTGGTAATTGTTTAAATATGGAAATGATTTTAAATTCTTCACTACATTTATTCATATTATTATTATGAAAATAAAATGTGAGTTATTCTGGTGTCCGTCACTCCCAGCAAACTTAATTTGAGTTATTTTCATGTCCTCTTAAACTATTTTATTTTTCTCCATTTCCGTTCATGGTTTGGCTGAATTGTTTTGTACAGATCGTGTTTATTAATGCTCCTCTCGGTTCTATTTTGTAATTCTTTAGCTGGGAGGGTCAGACAGCCATCTGTATAACCGCTAATGGGTTTTTGGACAAAGGAAGCATACAAGTGAATGAAAACGTTTAGCTTTTCGGTTTAACGTTTTGTTTCTTTCTTTCATTTCTCTGCATGCTGCGTCATATGCTGTGAGAACCATTGAGATGTCATTCATGAAAATGCTAAATAAAATATTTGAGACTTGTACAAATGTGTTGTGTGTTTGCACCACAATCTAATAATACTTTTCCTTACCTTCTGAGTTCTTTTCACAACCAGTCAAAATGGCAGATTTTTATTTTTTATTCGTTTTTATGTTTCATATTTTACTTTTAAAAGTATTTTGTGTTAATTGACTTATGCGATATAGCTAGTCAACATTTGAAGAGGATCAAAAATTATTTTCCAAAACTAAGACAAGAATAAGTGTTGTTGAATAGTATTAGGATAACTTTGATGAAAGGGTTTGATTTACTTGAAATGTTGACTACACTGAAAAAAAAAATCCATATTTAGCTATTTATTTACAGCAGCTGGGGTGCTGGAAAAAAAAGTGAAATATTTTCTGTTAAATTACAGAAACTTAAATTGAAGGAAATTTCTGTAATTTAATCTGTTATTTTACGGTATATTTCTGTTTTTTAATAAGCGTTACTTTACGGTATATTTCTGTAATTTAATATCTGTTATTTTACGGTATATTTCTGTTTTTTAATAAGCGTTACTTTACGGTATATTTCTGTAATTTAATATCTGTTATTTTACGGTATATTTCTGTTTTTTAATAAGCGTTACTTTACGGTATATTTCTGTAATTTAATATCTGTTATTTTACGGTATATTTCTAATTTAATATCCTTTATTTTACAGTATATTTTTGTCATTTAATATCTGCTATTTTATGGTATATTTCTAATTTAATATGTTTTTTTATGGTATATTTCTGTAATTTAATATCCCTTATTTTACAGTATATTTGTGTTTTTTAATATGCTTTATATTACGGTATATTTGTGTCATTTAATATTCGTTATTTTAAGATATATTTCTAATGTAATTTCTGTTATTTTACTGTATATTTCTGTAATTTAATATGCGTTATTTTACAGTATATTTCTGTCATTTTATGTCTGTTATTTTACGGTATATTTCTGTAATTTAATATTTGTTATTTTAAGTTATATTTCTAATGTAATATCTGTTATTTTACGGTATATTTCTGTAATTTAATATGCGTTATTTTGTGGTATATTTCTGCAATTAATTTCTGTTATTTTACGGTTTATATTTTCGTAATTTAATATCCATTATTTCCCCAGCTGCCGGAAATAATCCGTAAAATTACTTTTTTTTTTCTTTTCTTTTTTTTTTTTTTTTTACAGTTTACTGTAGTTACAACTCATTTATTGCACTGTTAAAAAAAAGTGTTTAGATGAAATAAAAACATACAAGTAATTTAGGCTACATTGACTAAAATGACTTAACAGATAATGGTAAATTTGTTTAACTTAAAATATAGAACTGAAACATGTCAGAGTAACATACAAACAAACATTTAAGTTTCTAATCCCACATCAACACGGGGAGAACATGCAAACTCCACACAGAAATGCCAACTGACCCAGCCAGGGACTCAAACAAGCAACCTTCTTTCTTGCTGTGAGGCGTAGGTGCTAACCCCTGACCAACATATATTATCCATTATTATATGAAAATGCTTCCTTGGTTTACTAGTGTGAAAGTTTTCCTATTTGATTCTGTTAATTCTAACCAAACATAAACATTGCTACTGACGTCTTCCATCAGGAAATTACATTCAGGCGGGAAAACGCCACAACGACAACGTGCAAGTATCAGCAGAGGACGGAGAGATTTCAGTGATGTTTTGTGGTGTAAGTTTGTTTACGTTGCACACTTACATGTATTGTTTTAAAATAATAATATATGGGGGGGGGGTGTTAAGCAAATATCAAAATTAACTTTGATAGTTAGCATACACATGTCGGCTTATTTACTGTTACTTTGGTTCATTTTCATCTGCATAAACTATTGTTTTTAATATTGTAAACGACTGATCTTTATTTCTATATGTTTATCATCCAGTTTAGATAGAGCTAAGCATAATATTTTACGAGCATGTATCTATTAACGGAGTTTCCTTAAAATCCCTCAAGCTGTAGTTTATTTATTTACCACAAGATGTCGCTAAGAAACAACAAACAAACGCTCTGAGGAGGCAATCAAACGAGGACACCGCTGTTCATTTAACTGTGTGCCAAGGTTAGTTTACGTCTATGAAACTTTAAAACAACAGTTCTGTGTAGATTCTCGTTAAGTTTTTTAAATCACTCAACTACGTTAAAAGGGCCGTCGAGTTCACCAAAAATGAACACTTATGCATTATTTTGGTTATTCACCCTCAAGTGATTATACATCTTTATTGGATTCTTCTGTTGAAACCCAAAGAAGATATTTGGAAGAAAGCTGAAAACCTGTAAACCCGGACTTCCCCACAAATAACAGTTAATGGTTACGGCAACTTTCTTTAAAATAGTGTGTGTGTGTGTGTGTGTGTTCGTGTGTGTGTGTGTGTTCGTTCGTGTGTGTGTGTGTTCGTTCGTGTGTTCGTGTGTTCGTTCGTGTGTTCGTGTTCGTTCAGCAAAGAAATAACCTCAGATTTCTAAGAGGCTACGCTTACCCTAAAATCCTATTTCTTTTTTCAGTTTTATACACGATTGTATTCTGTTAACTAGACAAAAACAGTACAGTAACCATGGTCAATGAAGGACTGGGCTAAGACTGTACGGTGGACATGAGGGATATTTTAGCGGTCCTTTAGCATAAAGAAAAAACATCTAAACATTTTGAGTGCCTCCACAATGCTAAAGGGACGAGGCATTTTGGCACTGAAACACTTTAAACACTGACTGTTTAAATGAGAAGGAGATTTAGTTTGGACACATGAGGGAACTGTTTTGGAAAAGGTATGAGTTTTTGTAAGTGAGCTATGGTTTACTAAACTGTAACACTGTTTTGCCAAATGATCTTAGAATTTGAGAATCTAATTTCTGTTTCAAGAAAAGTCAAACCAATGGAGAAAAACTAACATCATGTTTAATAAATGTTACAGCTTATTCCAGAACATGGAGTAATCATTCATTTTCCTTCAGCTTAGTCCCTTTATTAATCAGGGGTCGCCACAGCGGAATGAACCACCAACTTTTTAAGCATATGCACAGTGGATGCCCTTCCAGCTGCAACCCGTCACTGTGAAACACCCATACACTCTCATTCATTACCCAATTCACCTATAGCGCATGTCTTTGGGCTGTGAGGGAAACCCACGCGAACGCGGAGAGAACATGCAAACTCAACACAGAAATAGCGACCTTCTTGCCAAACCAGTTTAAGTAACAAGTGAGATATTTTAGAGATTGTTGTAGCTTTTAAAGGCGAAGCAGTGGCGCAGTAGGTAGTGCTGTTGCCTCACAGCAAGAAGGTCGCTGGTTCGAACCTCGGCTCAGTTGGCGTTTCTGTGTGAAGTTTGCATGTTCTCCCTGCCTTCGCGTGGGTTTCCTCCGGGTGCTCCGGTTTCCCCCGCAGTTCAAAGACATGCGGTACAGGTGAATTGGGTAGGCTAAATTGTCCGGAGTGTAGTAGTGTGTGTGGATGTTTCCCAGAGATGGGTTGCAGCTGGAAGGGCATCCGCTGCATAAAAACTTGATGGATAAGTTGGTGGTTCATTCCGCTGTGGCGACCCCGGATTAATAAAGGGACTAAGCTGACAAGAAAATGAATGAATGAATGTAGCTGTTGACTTCCATGGTATTTTTCCCCTACTATAGATGTCAATCGACACCGTTTTTACAACATTATTCAAATTATCTTCTCTTTTGCGTAACAGAAAAATCAATAGTGAGTAAATTCATTTTAGGAGTGAACTGACCCTTGAAAATGAGGTGTAAGTATAAATAATAAATTAGTGTAAAATCTTCATCAATGTCACTTTACTGTTCTCTGGACATCATTAACACTTTCTAGATAATAATAATATCCTCACATAACATCCTAATATAATGATAAATCCTCACAAATGCAACCCACAGGACTCCACCAGTCCCACCTAATTATCTCAACCCAATTTAAGCCCAAGTGTAAATTTACAAGAGGCATTTTCCAACACGTCATTTTTTTTCCCCCTCACAGAAACTGAGTCCTGTATAGGATCTTTCTGCAGGAGAGATTGAAGATCAACCCTATCAGTCAGCATCAGGTGAAGCACAACAGACAAATTACAGCTATCTATCAATTACACACACACACACACACACACACACACACACACACTGAGAGACCTATTTCCTCACACACATGTGAATATACACCAGAGGACACTGATCCACTTCCAGAATCTGTGCCCTGGCAGGACAATAGTCTTGGCCCCGCAGGTTGGCTTTTCTCAGGCTCAGCGTCTGGGACGGCGGGCGATATTTTGTATCGGTGTCTGTACTGATTGGGAAGGGGAATAATTGATGAAAGTGAGAGAATCGAGAGGAGAGCGGGTTCAGCCGGAGTTCAGGTGTATTCTCAGGTGCACACGGCCCTGCTGATAAGCGTGTTTATCGAGGAGACAAAAGGACAGTGAGGATCCTGTTGCCTCTGTTTAAAGCTGTTCTCCGTCTCCGTTTGGAGTCGTCTGGACGCTCGGAGCAGAACAGCACAATACGGGGATACATGTGTAGAAATATCTGTTAGTTTCAGTATTTTCAGTTTAGCTATGGTTGTGAGTTGCATTATGGGATGTCGATCTCTGCTCTGTCAACTGTTGAAAGTTCAACTCTAGTGACTTTTATTGACAGTTTAGTAGTCTAAAATGATATAATGTGCAAGACATAATGTAAAGAGAAGTCTGTAAGATAACAGAAAATGTACTGGTGGAGTATTACAAGGTTTTTGTACCGTATACAACAGCAACCCAGACAATAAATCACTTTAAAGGGCACCTATGGTAAAAAATCTACTTTTCAAGCTGTTTGGACAGATCTGTGTGTTGGTATAGTGTATAGACCGTCATACTGGGGTGATATGAACACACCCAGTCCTTTTGTTTCAATTTAACTACAAAAAAAAGGGTCGGCCAATTGGAGCTGTTTTCAAATCGATCGCACCATTACGTAGGTGTGCGATTCCCCCGCCCACCAAATTGA